CAGCTCTACCCACTGAGCTAACCAGGCACCTGTAATTGTGATTTTTATTTTTTTTTATTTAACATAACACACAATTATTTAGTAAAAATAAACAGCAGATAAATCCACAACGAAAATAATCAAATAATAGGTTCAAGCATTCGTTCAGATTAAAGCTACCCAGTGGAGTTTTTGACCACTAGAAGTGCTATAGAGCAAGCACGACGGCAATGCCATACACAGTCCTGCTGCAAGTTTCTGTACTATTCTGCTCGACAGCTGGTGGCAGTGACTAAAAAAGAAATGTTTTGATGCAGAATATGAATGAATGAATGAATTCTAAAAGTTGAAGTTTATCAGGAAGGATGTATCTATTCACGTCTTTGCATTGATTGTATATGTAACTGGCCAACCCGGGAGTGAAGTTTACACAGGCCTGTATACAGTAATAACTGATGCAATAAGAAGTTTCATCAGGCCTACCTTTGTGGCGGTGAAGGTGATGATGTGCTGGACATCCCTCCAGCTGAGACAGGGACGGACCTGCAGCATGAGGGCCACCATTCCTGCCGCCAGGGGGGCCGCGGCAGATGTGCCGGTGTGGCCCTCCGTACAGCCCGTCGCCTCCTGCATGGACCAGTCTGACGTCACCTGCAGAGACAGACAGATGGGTTGAGTGTGGAGGACACGACCATGGAGATTTATGTCAAGTATAAGCAGTGCCAAAGCGGTAACCGCTTGGGCAGGAGGCCAAACACAAACACCCACACACAAAAGTATACACTAACACTTGAGTGAATACAGGCACATACTTGACAAGGTATATCCAACACAAACTTAGTGTTTAGCATGAAGTTTCTATAACTAAACTAGCAGCAAAAAACACGTCCTCAGGCACCAGCATCATGGAGCCACCATTATAAAACAACATTTGCTTTAATGCGGGTGGCCAGAGTTCAATACTGTTTTTGTACAGAGTTTAAAGCCCTTGGGGAGATTCAGCTTTTAAAGAGATGAAAGGAAGTAAAGATAAAAAGAGTAGGCAAATAAAAATGTATATACACAGAGAATGGAAGCGAAGAGAAGTTTAAAATAATGACGTTAATGGTTGCCCAAAACAGAGGTAGGAGAGGAAGGATTTATGGAGAAGATTAACTTTACGAGCAAGCAAAAAAAGGCCAACATAATATTGGTTCTACAACTCTGTCTCTCATCACTATGTGTGTGAGCTCTAGTAGACAGTCAAATCCATCCACATGCAAGGCGGACAACTGCAAACATTCCTCGTATGTCTTCCATGTCCACCACCCGCTGCTACACACATTAGTGACAGCCTGCCTGACAGAGGGACTACAGCGATGTAGCCTGAGGAATTCCCAGCCCATCCGTGTTTACATGAGGACGACATGTTGGCTTTTTCCAACAGCTGTTCGGGCCATGTAGAAGCTCTGGAGCTAATGTACAGTGTTGTGAATGCACTGAGTTTCCCAGCAGGGGTTGTGATGTTCATCCGGAGCAGCTGTCTATGTGGTGAGAGTATACCAGCATCATCTGGAGACAAGTTATGTACCTCAACATGCTACACAGTTGTGTTGTCAATTTCAACGTCCATTAGTAAAGGGCGCATTAAAACCTGAAACTCTTTAATCTATAATCATGTGTCATGTTTTGGTTAGCCTCAGTTATTTTTAGGGCTCGCATAATCAAGAATCCTCGACAAATCAGTCCATTGAAAAACCTCAATCAATCAGCATTTTAACCATCTATAAGTAATCATAGAATTCCCCATCTTGTGACTTTTCCAGGCCCTGTGATGAACACCGTGATAAAATGCATTTGTGAAGGCAGCTGTTCTTGGTGGACTCTAAATGGGTTCTCCAGAATAATACACTAATAGGCAGTGTGTGGTAAGCACTTGGCCTGTGAGTATACTGTGGTCAGTGGTGGATCTGTCTTTTCCAGAGAGCCTACCCTGGCTAAGCTCTTCTCCCCAAGGCGATGACATCCCAGGTCCAAACTGTGTTGCCATGGTGACCCCCGCAAACAGCGGCAAATAGAGGTCAGCGGCTTCAATGGGCCCTTACTTCTGTCATCATTCGTCATCCTTTCGGATGAAAATAGTCTCTGCTTGTCCTGACGTGGGGCTCCTCTTTGCAAGCTTTCAAACATTTGTCACAATAAATTCTACATTCTAAGTTTATAGATCACTTAAAATCCTCTCAGAGTGTAGAATATGGTATGTGCAGGCTTCAAGAGGAAGTCCAAACAAAAAGGGAAATACATGGTTTTTCGTAGGAGACCCTCCTTTTCAGGTGGTCAGAGAAGGATTTCCACTTTTCATATCAGCCTAAAGAAACCAAATCACTACTGACGAACACACCAAAGTTTTTTTTAACAAACCAAGTAGGTTAGGTGTGAAGGCTGCCTGATTCATTGTGGTTGGACCAACTCCACAGTGTGACATCATCTTTCATGTCTTTTTCCAGCTTTGGGTAGGTCATCATTGACTCCCTGCTTTCCTGTTGTTCCTTATGAGACTATTCATCCATTCTCTGGTATAGTCATCATTTGTGTGTGTGTGTGTGT